ATTGATGCTGAGCAGTACTAGTGTTAATAGACCTTATGTGTAAGGGAAAGCAGTTTTTAAAAACAAGGAGAAAAAAAGCGCGAGCACTGCGTATATCAGTTAAAAGAGAGTCTCTTGTCTCTGTCTCTGCCACCTATCTCCTGTCCCCGGTCCCCGGTCCCGCTGTCCCTGGTTCCATTCTCCTGGTTTCCCCTGTCGCCTCTGTCACGGTGCCCTGTTTTCCTCTCCCTGTCCCTGTTCCTTCTGCCTTGTCCGCTGTTCCTCCCCTCCCTGTCTTTCTCTGTTCCTGTCTTCGGTTCCTCTCTCTCTCCCATACTCTCTTCCTGCTCTCTCACTCACTCTCCCCTTCTCCGCTGTCTGTGTCTCTTGCTGTCTGCTTTTCGTCCTCTCTCTCTCCTCTCTCTCTGTCGCTTATCTCTCTCTCTCTCTCTCTCTGTCACTTCGCCCCCTCTCTTCTCTCTCTCTGGCTGTCACTCCCCCCCCCCTCTCTCTCTCTCTCTCCACCACTCTCTCTCTCGTCTCATCTCCATCTTTTACCCCGTCAGACTGACACGTTATATATGCAGTTGCTTACTGAATCATTCCGCAGATCGGTACGATAGCGAGCGTGGACGGCAGACAGTACGCCTGCAGACGAGCAGGACGCGACTTGTTCCGTGAAGCTGCGAGAAGCAACCAAAATTTATGCACCACGATTATCACCACTTGAACCATAAAGCTGGGGATCACACTACCGTGTTGGCGATTTTAGCTCACTTTTATAACCTTCTTTATCGGTATCGCAACTAGCTGGGAAGATTAGAACATGTTCTGTTTTTTTCGCCAACTCGGCGTTTGGCGAGATTGGCGAAGGTTGGTACAACTTCACCAATCGCCAAGCATAGTTGTAGGGTGGCACAACCCAGCTGTAACACGCACGCGAAGAGAGGCAATGATCGGATTGTTGTAGTAGTAACACGGTGCGTTCACACGCACGAGCGAGGCAGCCATATTCCGGCCGGTACACGCCGACAACCGTAGACGTTGAAACCAACACGTAGACGTTGAAGCGTTATTGCCCACAAAATATTATTACCAAATTAAGAGCGTTTTAAAGGAGCAGAAGAGAGAAAACATCTAAACGTCAACCAAAACTTTTTTTGAATGGATACCAAAATAAATAAAAAGTTCATTTTAATGATACAATGACTCGTTCAAACGAACTTTTTTTTTTCGTTCAAATGATGAAAATGATCTTCGAACGAAAAAAAAAGCTTCGTTTCAACGATCGTTGTTCATCATTAAAATTAACCTTTTTTATTTATTTTGTATTCATGTGTATTCAAAGCTCCGCGTTAATACATAAACTCGACAGCTGAATATATTATTTACCATTAGCGGGTAATACAATGTCACGAAACTTGAAAATTACTACGAATTTACGCTGTTCATAGTATATATAAATATCATATATATTAATTATCAATTTAAAACAACTGTCCATAACCTGTCACATTTGTGGTTGTATTGAAGAAACATTTTGTACAATGACGCCTCAGTCACGTAACAAGTAGTTTTTGACAAGAGTCGTGATGCTGTGGACTGTGCGAGAAAGCTGTTATGGATACCGCTGTACTCTCTATATATATTCAACAGTAAAAGCTTGATTCCAAAGCTAATAATAAATGCCACACAAGTGGCGTTGTTCTCGTGTTTGGGCATAGTTTTTGAGGCAGCAGAATCCATGGCATTGCCGCCGAGTGCTGAATTAACATTCATGACCGTGTCGTGTTGTCGTCAGATATTATTGTATATGTGGTAGCCATTCATAATATGGCATAAATTCGTTGTGAGTGTACAATAAATGTTACACGGAATTTGGAGTTTTTGAGATCGATTCTATCCATATCAGCGCCTTGTGACAGCAAATGTTATTGAAGCACAGTTATCGTAGTTTTCTCGATTAGCTGCGATGGTTTCTTGTCAACGCTATTCTTTTAACAGTTAACATTAAACCGTTGTTATGAGCGCTACTCTCAGCATTATACACTAGTCTTAACTTTATGATGTATCTCAACAACGGCCCCCAGTGTTAAATATGTGCGAGTTCAACAACAGCTGAGACGGTCAAATGGTCATACCTAAACTCAACGGGAAAACGAGTGTTTGATTTCGTTCTAGACAATTGGCATCTGATCAGGAACCATTGCCCAAATCACGTTGGCCAGCAGCGCGGCGATGAGGTACAGTCGTTTTGATGGTCTTGGTGGTCGCTCTTAGTCCTGGCGGCCAAACTCTGCTGATAATCTCTTGATATCTCTTTGGTGACCTCAATCTCTCGTGATATCTCTTGGTTGATACTCTTGTGAGAGTAGATCAGAAATACTTTTCGCATCACGAGCGGATATTCCTGTCCGCGTTGCTCATGGGCAACGTGACGTCATCCAAACGAAGTTCACTGCAATTTTGCAACGATCAGGAAATTCGACCTACTCGCCACGATTTTGACGTCGAGCATAAGCCCAGCTTATTCAGCGTCTTCATAGATGAATCAAATCTAAACACGCCGCGTCCCCCTCCCTCACCCCCCTTAAGCTCTCCGTAGCCTCTTCCACCTATGTGTTACAGCCTTTCCTTGCTTACAGGCCTGTAGTGGGCAGGGCAGGTAACAGTAAAGGGCTTTGCATCCAAGAGACAACATCTAATAAAAACAGCCATTTAGCGAAGCACGGGAGGGTAACGTAATACGGTGTGTGCGCAGAAGGGCTCACACAAATGCAATCTGCACAACACAACTGCCGAATCCCACAACACCAATCTGCAAATCCCAACACAACTGCAAATCCACAACCAACTGCCAATCCAAACTCCACAACAAATGCAAACGCCACAACACAAGCAAACGCCACAACGCAAATGCAAACGCCACAACGCAAATGCAAACTCCACAACACAAGCAAACGCCACAACGCAAATGCAAACTCCACAACGCAAATGCAAAATCCCACAACACAGATGCAAACGCCAGCAAAAATTTTTGTCGCGCGATGGCAGCACACTCCATAGTAACATGTTACATAGTGACGCTGGCGTTACCCGACGCTGCGTTAATCGTCAATATTGGTTCGACAAACGATCGGGTGTTTATCTGAAATTGGCGACTGAAGAACCGCAATGTTTTGCTCACAGTGCGGGTTGGAGGTTACGTCAACATCTAATTACTGCTCAAATTGCGGTATTTTGGTAAAGACTTCGATTGTCATTGATCCTGGTAGAGCCTCTACCACTACCAGCAGTAGTACAACGAATCGTCCGTCAGTAAGTTTTGAGGATTTTAGAAAGATTAAGGAGGATCAGCGCCAATCAAGGTTTCAGCCAAAGGCCAAAAGAAGTAGACCAGGAAAGGCATTGGCCTCAGAACCAAAAGACGTTGCCATAAACATCGGCATTAAAAAGTATGTAAATGGCTATTTCAAGAACATCCGTGGTAAGTGTCTGCCAATCAGAGTGGCCCCGAGCGCCAATGCTTCGCTCGTCAAGGAGAAGGCCGTACTGAAACACACAAATCACGATGTCACCCTTGACACAAGCATGGACTCGGACTACGTTCTGCTATACCCGGACGGGAGTTTGGTCGAGAACATCCCTGGGAGTCAGCAACCATTCAAGTTGCAAGACTACAAGGAAGAAGTGGGGAAAAATTACAATAGGATAACTCTGTACATCGCCCTAAAGGTAGACTACATATTAGCCGAAACGACGATGGGACAGCTGAGTAGTAGCTCTGAGTCAGATACAGAACTCGTAGACTTAGAGAAAATCATATTTGACAGGAAAAGTTTTGTCAACGCATCCCCTGCAGGCGCAAGTTCTACTGCATCAGGTGGTCCAGTTCCGATTCATACTGTGATTATTGACGAAGCTGGCACTAGCACTGCTACTGCTAGTACTACAATTACCGATGTCGAAGATGACTCAATGGCCTTGGTGGAGTGTCCGATATGCTCTGAGCACTTTCCTCTCAGAATCATTGCAGACCATGCCGACATCTGCGCTGATATTTGGGTGGGGAACAATGACGAAGAGGAAGCAGAACACCCTATTGGAGAGGAAGATGTCTCGATGGCAAGGTCCAACGACAGTTTAAACGACGTAATAAGCAGCTTAGTGCCGGATCTGTCTACCAACAAGCCCATGAAGCTACGTATTCGTCGCACCAACTTGTGGGTAGATGTGCAAAGGTATGGGCCAAAACTGTCTCCCCAAATCCCCATCAAAGTGGAATTTATTGGAGAGACTGCAGTGGACGATGGAGGGCCAAGACGAGAATTTTTCTCAGGTAGACCAGAATTTGTAATATTGTGATAATGATAGAGATTGCAGGGCTTGAACTTAACACAGTTGCACATGCTATGTCTACTCACAATATTTTTGTGAAAAACAAAACAAGTTCAACATTATGTTTGCATTTGGAGCCATGTATGATAATAACAAGCTGATTTGCCAATACTATATTACTATATTATTACACCAGATGGTAACAACCTGATACAATAGCAAGCAACAATGACAATTGGTAGACCCTCATAGTCTTGCATGACATACGTGCCTACCCCTGATAAAGAGCGAACCATTTGACTTTTGAGAGGGGGTGGGTGGAAGATTTCTCCTTGCTTTAGGTCTTTGGGGTCTGCAGGGAATTTTTTTTAAATCTTCCAACATTTCCCCCCCCCCCATTCACAAGTTAAATGGAAGCCTCGTCTACACGACGACATTTAACTTCAGTTAAGCGTCTATACGGGGCCTTAACTCAAGTTAGCTTAACCTCGCCAGTCGATCGAGGATAAGCTAACTTGAGTTACCTTAACTCGAGTTAAGGCCCCGTATAGACGCTTAACTCAAGTTAGCGAATAGTACATAACTCCACGATAGGCGGCAACACTAGTACGATGTACGTACACACGCGCGCACGCACGCACGCACGCACACACTCATGCACGCACGTGTACATGCACACGTACACACGCACGCACGCATGTACGCACGTGTAAGTGCACATGCACGCACGCACGCACGAACGCACGTGTACTTGCACACGCACGAACGCACGTGTACTTGCACACGCACGCACGCACGCACGCACGCACGCACACACACACGTATACGTGCACACGCACACACGCACGCATGCACGCACGTTTACATGCACGCACACACGCACACACGCACGCATGCACGCACGTTTACA